AAATACTGGTAAATGATAGTCCATAGAGGAGATTGTGATCATTGCAATTAACAAAATGTGATTTTTTAAAATGTAAAACTAATGATTTGCCAGGTAAACTTTCACTTAATTTCCAATTTAAAAAAAAATGATATGGACACTCTGAAAAACAGCTTGACAGTTTCTTAAACTAAACATACAAATTACTATACAACCCAACAATTGTACTATTGGGTATTTAGCCCAGATAAATGAAAATATTTGTTCACAAAAAAGAAAACCATATACATATTTAAAACAGTTACATTTGTTAATAGCTATTAATTGGAAATAATTTGCCTGTTCAACGGATGAATAGGTGAACAAACTATGTTATATTCATGCCATGGAATACTACTTGGCAATAAAAAAGAACAAACTATGGATATGCATAAAACCTGGATGAATCTCCAGAAAATTATGCTGAGTGGAGAAAAAGCCAATCCCAAAAGGTTTTACAATGGGGCTTCAAAAAGTTTGTGTAAAATTCTATTATCTAACAATTCCATTTTTCCACAGATTTTTTGAAGCCCCTTTGTATATTCTATGATTGCACTATGGAACATTTTTGAAATGATACAAGGAAGATATTGCACTATGGAACATTCTTGAAATGATATAAGCAAGATATAAGTAGAGAATAGATTTGTGGTTGCCAGAGGTTAAAAAGGGTAGAGCAAGAAAGTAGTGGTTGTGGCTATAAAAAGGAAACATGAGGGATCCTTGTCATGAAGATGTCCTATATCTTAACTGTATCAACAGCAGTACTGACACTATACGTTTACAATTCCAAGACTGTACGACAGTTCTGCAAGATATTACCATGCAATCTCTCTATATTGTTTCTCACCAATGTATGTGAATTTATAGTTATCTCAAAAGAAAAAGTTTAATTAAAAAATATTGACAATACCAAGTGGTGATGAGTGTTTGGAGGAACTAGAATTCTCATGCACTGCTGGTGGGAATGTAAAATAAAAAGTACAGCTACTCTGCAAAACTATTTGGTAGTTTCTTAAAAAGTTAAAACACATACTTACCATATGACCAGCAATCCCACTCCTGGTTAATTACCTCAAAGAAATGAAAACTATACTCACACAAAACCTGCACATGAATATACATAGCAACTTTGTGATAGCCAAAACCTAGTAACAACCCAAATGTCCATTAACAGGTGAATGAATAAACCAACTGTGAAACATCATATAATGGAATTATTACTTAATAATTAAAAATAATTATGGACACACAAAACAATTTACATTAATCTCAAAGGTCTAATGCTGAACGAAGAAGCCAACCTTCAAAAGTTACACACTGCATAATTTTATGTATAGGACATTCTCAAAAACACAGAACTATGGTGATAGAGAACACATTAGTGACTGCCAAGGGTTGGGGCTTGTTGTGAAGTGCCGCTGAGTCAGTTCTGACCCACAGCGACCCTGTATAAGGTTTCTGAGGAGCAGCTGGTGAGTTTGAACTGCCAACCTTGCAGTTAAAACGGCTTTGCAGTCTGGTGCATTAAACCACAATGCCCTGGAGAGGGGTTAATTACAAAGAGATGGCACAAGCGTTTTGGGGATGATAAAATTGTTCAGTATCCTGATTGTGGAGGTGATTCCACAAATACACATGTTTTTAAATTCATAGAACTGTATACCAAAAGGAAAGATGCCCGATTTTACTATCGTGGTGATGGTTATGTGTCAGCAAGTTGGTTCTGACTCATAGTGACCCGGTATAGGGTTTCCAAGGCTGTAAATCTTTAAAGAAAGATTTAAATCTTTCTGCAAATCTTTAAAGAAAGATGGGTGCAGAAAGTCCCATCTTTCTCCTGAAGAATGACTGGTAGATTTGAACTGCTGACATTGCAGTTAGCAGCCCAGCTTGTGATCCCCTATGTTACCAGTGCTCCTGTGATTTTACTGTATGATAATTAAAAAACAAATAAGTAAAAGGCATCTCTTTTCCCCAACTGAGTCTTTTCCCTGTGCCAGAGTTGGATTTCAGCCACCACTTGCCCCTTTGGTTGTATACCTTTGTGCTTTGTACAAACTGTACAATCACAAGCTTCAACCCTTCCTGGGTGTGCTCAGAACAGATCTGTGGCAGTGTTTAAAGGTTATACGGGGAATTGTGAATTCCTTGATTAAAAGATTAACAAATCCCTTCCTCTTTCTCGGTGGATAAATTTGATCTTGGATTAACTTTCTAGCTGTTTCCCTGGAAATCTGGTAACAGACGGATGTCAGCTGGGTTACCAGGCAATTGCTTGTGGTAAGAATGAGCTCAGTCAGTATACTCCATCTGGACCAAGAGGACTGTGAATGAACTATAAGCATCCAGCGGGAATCTCTAGCTTTGTACTCTGAGCACTGTGATGCTTTTAATTGGCATGTCTCTTATGGGATCCTGAATCAACGTTCATGAGATTGTTGTAAGAAATGGTAGTTCCTATTTGGGAAATGAGGCTTCTAAAGCTCCTATAGTTACCACAATGCTTTGTGTGATCTTCTCCTCTTACACCTAAATTCCTACTTGGACTGTTATGTGACCCAGCTGTTGGGGCTCTTGCTAAAGATGTTGACATGCCGAGTTTCTTATCCTACATCTTTTTAAGTAAAACCAATATCAAGCAAGGTCTGTTGTAGACATGTGAATATGAAATGGCTAGTTAAGCAAAAAAATGACCAAGAGTGGGTGTTGCAAATCTTCTGGAAAGTATTCAGGGTCTAAACTAAACGGAGCCTTTTGGAACCACCCTGAAGTAGTTAGAAATCTGGCATAATTGTACTGATGTGAATGGAATTTATACCTTTCTCCTATTCATCTACCACAAGTCATTGTTTATCCTGGGCAAGTGGACAAGATTTGATGTATTATTTTTTAATAAAAAGGCATCATATCTTCCTTACCTTGGGGAACCTGCACAAAGCCAACACTTATACCAGCAAGTAAGTCTCCAAGAAGCCAATCCTTGAATCGATACAAACATACCCACTCTAGGAAGGGAAAGATCATCAACATGCATCTTATGAACTTATGCCATGAGCAGCTGTGAGAGAGAAGAGCAGAGACTTGGTTAGGTTCTCCAAAGAAAGTGCCTACATAGCCAAGAAAAGGCACAGTGCCCAGTCCTTCTTCCCATGCAGCAGAGTTCTCAACATCAGCAAGATTAACATTCTGGGTGAGATATTTTCTGTTGTGGGGCTGTCCTGCGCACTGTAGGATGTTCAGCAACATCCTTGGTCTCTACCCACTGGATGCCAGTAGAATGTACCCTGACCTAGCTATGACAACCAAAAATGTCTCCAGACGGCAAAAATCACCTCTGATTGATTTGTAAGCAGTAATATTGGTAGGAGGCAAGGGGCCTTGACACATTTCACATCATTCCCATATACTGCAATTTTTATTGAATATCAACTCTATGAAATTGACACAAAATATAGAATATTAAGTCTTATGCTTAAGGAGTTAGTCATGTAAAGAAAGGGCACTAAAATACAGTTTTAATACCCTTTAATCCAGTGGATTTGATTTCAACCATGAGCAATTTTGCTCCCCAGAGGACATTTGGTAATATCTAGAGATATTTTTGATTATCACAACAAGAGGCCATGGGTGCTGCTAAATATCCTATAATACACACAACAGCCCTCCACAAGATATAATTTTTGGTCCAAATTGTCAATAATGCTAAAACCTTGCTTTAGCCTTTGTTGTTATTAAGTACTATTCTGACTCATACTGACCCTGTATAGTTTCCGAGGAGTGGCTTATGGATTTGAACTGCTGACCTTCCAGGTAGCAGTCCAATGCTTATCCTAAATAAGTAGGAAGATAAATAAATACTACCAATTTGGCCATAAACTGCTTTTTGCTATTTACATTTTAGCATGGGCTAAAAACATACTCTGGAGAGTTTCCATGTGTGAGTTGTAGTTAGATAATTAGGAATTTACTATAATGAAAATATTACTTTAGTATATCCAGGACTAAAAGATGTGCTCGGGAAAGAAATAATTTCACATTTTGGACTTTTACATCAAGCGTTGTTGTTAAGTGCCATCGAGTAGTTTCTGACTCATAGTGACCTTGTATAAGGTTTCCGAGGAGCAGCTGGTGGGTTGTAACTGCCGACCTTGTGGATCACAGTTCAGTGAGCCTACAGCACCATACCCGAACTCCCAAGCATTACTATCCCTAAAGCAGTTATGACAAAGAGATAAAAATGACTGTCAATGTCGCAGTATATGTGGGTAAAACAGGATTAGAAACCAGGTCTTCTGACTCTAAGTCCCGTGTGGTAGCCACTGTAGTCTCTCAATAGTGCCTACTGGCAGCTGTTCAATTCTGCTAAGGAGGGAGGAGCAAGACCACTGGTTTGCTATTTTTACTAAAATCTGGGTGTTCTCTCCAATAATGACGTCCTATCGGCAGTTGAAGCTCACCAGCTGCTCCTCGGAAACAGGGTCGCTATGGGTCGGAATCAACTTGATGGCACTTAACAACAACAACAACAACATGGGAAAGGGAAGGATCCTGGTGTGGTGCTGTGGGCTAATGCGTCAGACTGCAAAGTCGTTTGAACTGCAAGGTCGGTGGTTCCAGCTCACCAGCGGCTCCTTGGAAACCCTATAGAGGATCGCTCTGGGTCAGAATGGACTCAACAGCACTTAACAACAACAAAAATGGGAAAGGGAAAGGAGCCTTGTGTGGCATGCTCAGTTGCTAATCAAAAGATGAGTGGTTCGAACTCACCAATAATGAGAAGGATGTGGAAGTCTGCTTCTGTAAAGATTTATAGCCTTGGAAGCCTTACGGGGCGGTTTTACCCTGGTGTGACGTTGTTAGATAAGCACTGGTTGTGATGCTGTTAGATAACCACAAGGTTGACAGTTCAAATCCACTCGTCACTTGGAAACCTTGCGCAGGAGTGCTATGAGCTAGAAGTGACTCAATGGCACAAAACAACAACAACAGAGTCATGATGAGTTGATGACAATGAGTTTGGGGGTCTTTTTGGTACGGGAAAGGGGACGAGTCCTGCTGGTAGCACAGTAATTAATCATCCTGACTGCCAAAAAAAGTCAGTAGCTTGGCCACACCCAGCTGCCCCAAGGGAGGAAAGACCCAGCAGTCTCCTCCCATAAAGATTACAGCCTGGGAAACGTTATGAGGCACTTCTACTTTGCTGACTGGATGGCACACAACAAATAACACCATGGGAAAAGGAGGAAGCACAGTGGTGCAAATAGTCAAGTGCTCGGCTACTAACCTAAAGGTTGGGGGTTTGAACTCACCCAGTGACTCTGGGGGAGAAAGGTCTGGTGATTTGCTTCTGTACAGATTACAGCCAAGAGAAAAAGCAACAACAAAACCAACTCTGGAGTAGTTCTGCTCCACCACACGGACTCGCTGTAAGTCACAATCAAATAGGCAGCACCTAACAAGAACACTGAGAAAGGGGCTTCCATGCATCAGATTCAATTGGATGGCAATTTACAATAACAACATGGACAAGGGCACGTAAAGCCTGGCACTGGGACCCTCAGCACCCTCAGCTGACTCAGTCTCCCTCTTCTCCCTATACTAGTTGGCAGAAGACCAGCCACACTGTGCAGCCATGAATGTTCTTTCGCATGGAAAACCCAAAAACACCAACAACATGCAGTGATGAGGATCTAAGACTGAAAGAAATCAAGGAGAGTGCTAAGGAATAGAAACTGAAGCTAATGAGTGGGGAGAGGAGGGATTTTGGCATGAATCTGGATTTTAGTGACAGCCATGTTAAAAGAGAAGAACATAAGAGTCTGTGAAAGCATGGGGTAGACTGTGACAAGGAATGGAGGCGTTGCAGTTGCTGATTCCCAAAGCCCATTGCCATAGAGTCCATTCTGACTCTTAATGACCCTGAATAGGGTTTCCATGACTGTAAGTCTTTACGGGAGCAAAGGGCCTCATCTTTCCCCTGCAGAGCAGCTGGTTTAAACTGCCAACCTTATGGTTAGCATCCAACACCTAACCCACATTACCACCAGGTCTCCAAGAGGAAGAAAATGAGGAAAAAGGTAAGAGGTTGTGTGCAGTAAGGAGATATGGAGTTAAACGATTATCTTATTGACTTTAAAAAGCACTTTCGTATTTGTAGTACTTTAATGGAAAGTGCTTTCCTATCTGCAGCATAGTCCTTCCTGTGTACTAGATGCTTTGCAAATATTCTTCTTCAATTCTCACAACCCTCTTATAAGGTGAGATTGGTGGTGGTTATGTGCCGTGGAGTCGGTTCTGACTCATAGTGACCCCGTATAGGGTTTCCCAGGCTATACATCTTTATGGGAGCAGAAAGCCTCATCTTTCTCCCGTGGAACAGCTGACCTTGAGGTTAGCAGCCCGACTCATAACTACTACGCTATCAAAGCTCCTTTCTGATGAGGTTTGTTGTTGTTTAGTGCCACTGAGTCGATTCTGACCCATAGTGACCCTGTACAGGGTTTCCACGGCTGTAAATCTTGACGGTAGTAGAAAGCCTCATCTTTCTCCCGCGAAGCGGCTGGTAGTTTCGAACTGCTGACCTTAAGGTTCACAGCCCGATTTGTAACCACTACGCTACAGGTAGGTACTGTGAAAAAAAGAAAAACAGTTGCCATTGAGTTAACACCAGCTCATGGCATAGGGTTTTCAGTGGCTGATTTGTCAGAAGCAGATTACCAGACCTTTCTACTGAGATACCGCTGGGTGGATTAAAAGCACCGACCTTTTGTTTAGCAGCTGAGTAAGTTACTCATTTGCAACAGCTGTTATCATTCCCATTTTACAGATTCAGAAACTGAGCCACAATAAGGCTGGCTAGCTTACCCAAGGACACACAGCTGGTAAGCAGTAGACCTGGGATTCAAATCCATTGAGAAGGCTCAGAGTCTTGCTCTTAATTACCGTTTTGTTAAAATTCAGAAGTGAGGAGAATAGGATGTTTTAGAAGTAAGGAATAATAACTGTTCTAAAAGCCATGGGAGCCAGAAGAGTTCAGATTTAAGTGTCCTAATGACATGATGATGAACTTCCAGAGGTTCAAGCTGGATTCAGAAGAGGCCATGGAACGAGAGATATCATTGCTGATGTCCGATGGATCTTGGCTGAAAGCAGAGAATATCAGAAGGATGTTTACTTATGCTTTATTGACTACGTGAAGGCTTTCGATTGTGTGGATCATCATGACAAGCTATGGACAACATTGAGAAGTATGAGTATTCCAGAACACTTAATTGTACTTCCGAGAAATCTGTACCTAGACCAAGAAGCAGTTGTTCAAACAGAGCATGGGAACACTGAATGTTTTAAAATTGGGAAAGGTGTGCAACAAGGTTGTGTTCTTTCACTATACTTATTCAACCTGTATGCTGAGCAAATAATACGAGAAGCTGGGTTCTATGGAGAAAAACGTGGCATCAGGATTGGAGGAAGACTCATTACCAACCTGCGATATGCCGATGATACAACCTTGCTTGCTGAAAGTGAAGAGGACTTGAAACATTTACTTATGAAGATTAAAGAGCACAGCCTTCGATATGGATTACATCTCAATGTCAAGAAAACAAAAATTCTCACCACTGGACCAATAAACAGCATTCTTATCAATGGAGACAAGATTGAAGTTGTCAAGGACTTCATTCTTCTTGAATCAACTACAACACTCGTGGAAGCAGCAGTCAAGAGATCAGACAACGTATTGCATTGGGCAAATCTGCTGCACAGGAACTTTTTAAAGTGTTGAAGAGCAGAGATGTCAGCTTGAGGACTAAGGTGCGTCTGCCCCAAGCCATGGTATTTTCAATAACCTCATATGCATGTGAAAGCTGGACAGTGAATAAGGAAGATCGTAGAAGAATTGATGCCTTTGAGTTGTGGTGTTGGAGGAGAATACTGAAAGTGCCATGGACTGCTAAAAGAACCAATAGATCTGTTTTGGAAGAAGTGCAGCCAGAGTGCTCTTTGGAGGCCAAGATGGCTAAGCTTCGTCTTTCATACTTTGGACATATTGTCCGGAGGGAA